TGATTGACATTGCATATTGTTGCATAGTTTGTTGTCTATAACAATACCCAAGTCCCTAATGCCTATTTCAAGATCATTTATAAAAATGTTTAATAAAAGTGGTACACTAAAACATTGCTTTCAATGCCTATTTCAAGCTAATTTATAAATATGTTAAATAGAAGCAATCCCAAAACAGAACCTTGAGGGACACCACTTACCACTTTTGTCCAGTTTAAAAATGTACCATTAATGACAACTAGTTGTACTCTATCCTTAAGCCAATGTTCTATCCAAGAACAAGAATATTCATATAGACTAATTTATTTTAGTTTGAACACTAACCTATTGTGAGGAAACATATCAAATGCAAAAAACAAGTAAATCACATTCACTGCAACACCCTGATCTTTACTTCTACTTATTTCTTATAGGTGTCAATTCAAAATACTAACCCTTACCTATAAGGCTATAAACAACTCCTGTTACATAGTTATGCACCTTCTTGGTCTCTCCACTCTGCCGGTGACTGGCCACTCCTTGCACCCTCACTGCTAATCCATGCTTGCAGAATGGATAATCCTTTTCTTTGGTTCGGACTGCCTATCCCTATCAGACTCTCTTCTAGTCTTAAATAAGTTAAGAAATCCCTCAAAACCCATCTGTTTACAAATGCTTATGGTCTCACAGAGTAACTTCTACATCATTAAACGGACACTCCAGGCACCCAGACCACTTCTGCCCATTGGAGTGGTCTAGGTGCCAACTCCCACTACTCTTAACCCTGCAAGTGTAATTATTGCAGTTTTTTTATAAAAAAAAAACTGCAATAATTACCTTGCAGGGTTAACTCCACCTCTAGTGACTGTCTACTAGACAGCCACTAGAGGGCACTTCCTGGTTTCTAGCAGAGGAAACCTGTGCTAGAGCGTCACTGGACGTCCTCACGCTGTGTGAGGACCTCCAGCGTTGCTCATTTCTCCATAGGAAAGCATAAAAAATGCATTTTCAATGCTTTCCTATGGGGAGCGCTAATGCGCATGTGCGGCATTGCCGCGCGTGCGCATTAGGTCTCCCCGGATCAGTCTCTCCCACCGGCCAACGCAATCAGAGGGAGGAGCGGCGCGGAGGAAGAAGCAGCGACGTGGGACATCGTCGCTGCCTCAGGTAAGTCACTGAGGGGGTTTTCACCCCTTCAGCAACCGGGAATTGGGGGATGGGAGGGAGAGGGGACCTGCAGTGCCAGGAAAACGGATTGTTTTCCTGGCACTGGAGTTTCCCTTTAATCTGTCTCTGGCTCTCTTCTAAAGTGCCACACTCCACTCTCACTTCCAGTTATGTTACTTTCCCACCTTGTTTGCTTGTTGTCCCCATTGATGCCTTTCCTATTATATCCTTATGCTCAACTCCTCTAGACTGTAAGCTCATCTAAACAGGGTCCTCATCTGCCTGTTGTTCCTGTACCATTTTGCAATTTTCCCTTTTTATTGTTTAATTTCCCTCTCCCAAAATATGGTATAGCCCTGTCGAATAAGTTGGCACTATATAAAAACCAATAATGATAATATTAATAATAATAATAATAATAATATGGTTTAAATATCAAAAAACTGATACCTCCCAAGTAGCGCAACTCCATTCATGTCCCTCTTTTCTAGGAGCACCATATTTTTGGTATGTAGCTCCACAGCAATAATACAATAATGTGTTTTTAAACTATAATAAATGTGCCTAAAAATGAATATGTGTAAGAAAGATACAGTGTTCTTGTTCTAAATAACACAGGAAGAAAATTAACTTTTTATATATATATTTTTTACACAAAATGAAGATCAAAGATCAAAGGATGCAAATATGTAACAATCTAAGTGTTGCAATGGTTTCAGCAAAATCTATTCTGTGTGATAGACATAATACATTTTTCTATTTACAACATAAAACATACATGCTTATGTAGACTGCCCTTACACTATTTAAAAGCTTTACAGGGAGTGCAGAATTATTAGGCAAATGAGTATTTTGACCACATCATCCTCTTTATGCATGTTGTCTTACTCCAAGCTGTATAGGCTCGAAAGCCTACTAACAATTAAGCATATTAGGTGATGTGCATCTCTGTAATGAGAAGGGGTGTGGTCTAATGACATCAACACCCTATATCAGGTGTACATAATTATTAGGCAACTTCCTTTCCTTTGGCAAAATGGGTCAAAAGAAGGACTTGACAGGCTCAGAAAAGTCAAAAATAGTGAGATATCTTGCAGAGGGATGCAGCACTCTTAAAATTGCAAAGCTTCTGAAGCGTGATCATCGAACAATCAAGCGTTTCCTTCAAAATAGTCAACAGGGTCGCAAGAAGCGTGTGGAAAAACCAAGGCGCAAAATAACTGCCCATGAACTGAGAAAAGTCAAGCGTGCAGCTGCCACGATGCCACTTGCCACCAGTTTGGCCATATTTCAGAGCTGCAACATCACTGGAGTGCCCAAAGCACAAGGTGTGCAATACTCAGAGACATGGCCAAGGTAAGAAAGGCTGAAAGGCGACCACCACTGAACAAGACACACAAGCTGAAACGTCAAGACTGGGCCAAGAAATATCTCAAGACTGATTTTTCTAAGGTTTTATGGACTGATGAAATGAGAGTGAGTCTTGATGGGCCAGATGGATGGGCCCGTGGCTGGATTGGTAAAGGGCAGAGAGCTCCAGTCCGACTCAGGCGCCAGCAAGGTGGAGGTGGAGTACTGGTTTGGGCTGGTATCATCAAAGATGAGCTTGTGGGGCCTTTTCGGGTTGAGGATAGAGTCAAGCTCAACTCCCAGTCCTACTGCCAGTTCCTGGAAGACACCTTCTTCAAGCAGTGGTACAGGAAGAAGTCTGCATCCTTCAAGAAAAACATGATTTTCATGCAGGACAATACTCCATCACACGCGTCCAAGTACTCCACAGCGTGGCTGGCAAGAAAGGGTATAAAAGAAGAAAATCTAATGACATAGCCTCCTTGTTCACCTGATCTGAACCCATTGAGAACCTGTGGTCCATCATCAAATGTGAGATTTACAAGGAGGGAAAACAGTACACCTCTCTGAACAGTGTCTGGGAGGCTGTGTTTGCTGCTGCACACAATGTTGATGGTGAACAGATCAAAACACTGACAGAATCCATGGATGGCAGGCTTTTGAGTGTCCTTGCAAAGAAAGGTGGCTATATTGGTCACTGATTTGTTTTTGTTTTGTTTTTGAATATCAGAAATGTATATTTGTGAATGTTGAGATGTTATATTGGTTTCACTGGTAATAATAAATAATTGAAATGGGTATATATTTGTTTTTTCTTAAGTTGCCTAATAATTATGCACAGTAATAGTCACCTGCACACACAGATATCCCCCTAACATAGCTATAACTAAAAACAAACTAAAAACTACTTCCAAAAATATTCAGCTTTGATATTAATGAGTTTGTTGGGTTCATTGAGAACATGGTTGTTGTTCAATAATAAAATTAATCCTCAAAAATACAACTTGCCTAATAATTCTGCACTCCCTGTATATTTGGTTTTATTTTCTTCTCGGAAGTGTTTATTTCAGGCCTTTTAGTGTTTGCACTGTGTTAATCTCTTTTACCTCTGTTGGAACACTTTTCTAAAACGCTACAACTCACTGTCTATGAAAAAAGTTTTCCCAAGCGATACCTCTGAATGTCTCTCCTTCTGTTTATCTGTTTTTCTCTGTGGTCTTCCTAGAGCTATATTTCAGTCTCATTCTACGAAGATGAATGACGTCAAAAACGTTCTTTGTCTTTCATTTTGAACTTACACCACAGGAAACGGAATAACACTTCTCTTCATGTGAGCGAACTTCTTTATTTCATTCCATTGCAATAGTACAACAACATGTGCTCAAAAAGTGAATAGCTAATCTCGTTTCCATATTGTCAATCACTCATTTTCTAGATTTTTAAACTGGATAAGAAAACATTTTCTACATTTACTATAAATGTATAATTATTTCAAATGTAAATAAACTGTGTGTATGAATATGCCAACTGCAAATTAATGTCAATTATGCTCATGCCATTTTTTATTTTTTGTTAACAATGAAATAAGATAAAACCACATGCAACATCTTACATTACCTAATAAATAAAAATAATATAATGGGAGTGGGAGCTTAGCGGCGGAGCGAGCAGGACACCATTTCTGGCAGCTCCATGCAAATCAAACTGAATCCGTCAAACATCACCGAAAATACATGTCATCCATGCAATCAGATACCTATATAGCCCAAGGGAGACCATCCTGCACCGCCCGATGCCATTTAGGTACAATCCGAGGCAGGCAAATCCGGGCCTGCTACACGCCATAATAACGCGGCGACAGCCTGGGAGACCCAAGCAACGATCATCTACAGGACCCCGACCAATCCCACGAGGAGATGGGGCGCAGATCACAAAGACCACACCAAGGTACTGCCACAGCACAGCCTGATATAGGGGCACTGCTACAGAAACAAATCCCAGCCAAAATGGTGCCCAACCAGAGCTCAGACCCCCCACAGGCAGAAACCCCTCCAGCACAAGCCACTCAGGGACACACAAAGAGAACTCCACAGGCCATACAGACCACAACCACCAAATCCATACCCCCACAGGGAACAGCAGACCCAGCCACCAAGCATGACCTGCAGCAGATGCAAACTATGCTTCCACATGAAGGAGGGGTAGAAGCCATGTGCCAGGTTCTTACAGCTTCAACAGTGTACAAGGGGCCACCCATTGAGTTTGTTTTGGAAATTTTGGCCTTAACTTTGGAACGCAATTATTTTCGCTTTGAAAATCAATGGTATTTACAAGTTTCTGGTACATCGATGGGGGCAGCTATGGCCTCCATGTATGCAAATGAATACATGTTCATGTATGAACAGAAGAATATCTTGTTACCATATGGCCATCTAATACAGGGTTACTATCGTTACATAGATGACCTTCTAATCATATGGAAAGGCACCGTATCTGAAGCACAGACCATGGTGGAAGAACTTAACAAGCTACCAGTACCCATTAGAATGACGGCCAATATTAGCTCTGAGAGGGTTCAATACCTTGATGTCGAACTATCTGTTGGTACAAACAAAATAGAGTATAGCTTGTTCACGAAGGCCACTGATCGTAATACACTATTACACGCGCACAGTGCTCACCCTCAAGCATTAAAAAAATCCCTTCCAAAGGCCCAATATCTAAGTGTGATGAGAAACAGTTCTGACGATAACACCAAAGAAAGACAATTGGTAGAAATGAAGGAAAGATTTTTAGAATGTGGGTACCAGCACTCCACCCTTGATAAAGCATTAGAGGAAGCTAGGACACCTCGAGTACCTAGGGAGGCAGCGACAGTTCAAAAATTGTTTTTTCCCACCACGTTCCATCAGTCTACCTGTCAGATCTCCTCAGCTATCAGAAAAAAATGGAGAATTTTGGCCGCAGATGACACTCTCCCTAAAGTCTTCCAGGAAGAACCGCTTATTTGTTTTAAGAGGAATAGGAATTTAAAAGACCTTCTGGTCCACACAGACCCTGTTCTAAGCTACACAGATAGAATCACTACACAGATTCGGGGTAGTGTTCGCTGTCTCGGTTGTGTAACATGTGGGCATATGACACCATCGAAAACTTTTCTACATCCACATACAAATAAAAAATACTCTATAAAGAGTACTATCACGTGCAAAACCACTCATGTGATATATAAGCTCACATGTCCATGTGGATTAGTTTATATTGGGAAGACTGAAACAGCACTATGCGACAGGATCAGGGGACATCGGTCGAGTATCAGATTGGCTTACAGGGACAGGATGTCTGACAAACCAGTGACTAAGCACTTTTTTGAATTGAAACATTCTTTAGCCACTTTGAAATTTATAGCCATCGATCACGTCCGTGTATCAAGAAGAGCTGGGGACAGGGGAAAGTTGTTATTGAACAGAGAGACTTTTTGGATCTACGAACTGGACACAGTATTCCCAAGAGGCTTGAACGAAACCATTTCTTTTCATACCTTTCTATAAAAGTCCTTTTTATAAGTGAACTTTTATATAATAATTTTTTTGAGACAATAATTCTAGCTTATAATATCAGTTACTGAATTACAATGTATGCATAAGTGTCTTCGCTGCAACACGTCAGCACGGATTTTTTATTTTTATTTTTAGAATATACATTCTGAGATATACGATATAATATATTAGTTATACATTACTAAAGTGTTTGACAAAGAAATATAGTCCTGTTGGATTTACACCATAATATATAGGTGTATTTAATTTATTGGTTTAATATTTAATATATAGGAGAACTCTGGTTTGGTCATGATTATATATCTCAGAATGTTTGTTTGTGTATTGATAAGTGTGTATATATTGTTATTTAGAATATGTAGTTAGGCATATATGTTTTTAACTTATATATTGGGCTATATAGGCACAATACAGATCACCAGTATGGATGTGTATGGATATGTTTTTGGTTTAGCAGCACTATTTGCACTTTATAATTGGAATTCCACATCTGGCACTTTATCTTATTGGCACTTGTCACTTTTTATTATCTAGACATGGTTCAATATCCATTTATTTTTTATAGACACATACTCTCTTTTTTAGAGGACTGTCACTTTAACTTTGTACTTTTCGACAATGAAATTTAGTAGTCTGTAATGCTGCACAGTTCACTACACCATGTATAGCCACTCTAAGTAAACTTAGGTTTGTCCACTTAGTATTTATTTATACACCCCATCCTTTTGCTTAAATCGTAATTGATTCACTTATTGTATGCCCGTTCCTTTTTATTTTCATAGTGATGCTTTGTTTATTTGTGTCGCTATGGTTACGAACGTACCGTCATCATGGCATGATGTCACCAAGGGGGTGGAGCTTGTTTACACATGTGCACAGAGCATGCTAGGACGCCGGTCAGATGGCGTTTTTCACCTGGGGTAAGCTAATTAACTTAATAATGTTATGTATGAATGTCTTGTATGTTTGTTAAATGTTTTTATTTGATCCTGATGAAAGTCCTCTACAGGGGACTGAAACGTTGATCACTGTTTTTTTAACCATTTTTCAATAAACTTTGGACTTTAATTATTCATGAGTGCAGCTACCTACTTGGATGAATATATATATATATATATATATATATATGAGATATGGTGTGTAATGGGGTGAAGCATGTATATATGCATGCATGTATGTGTGTGTGTGGGGTTAAATGTATGTGGGGAAGAAGTGTGTGTGTGGGTTAAGAGATGATGTGTGTGAGGGGTGCACTGTGTGTGTATGCAAATGTATACTCAGTGTTGGTGGGAGTGTACTGTATGTGGGGGATTCACTGTCTGTGAGGGTGTACTGTGTTCAGGGGGTGTAGAAAGTGGGACAGTGAAGAGCTTTACAATTTTTACTTTAATAATTGTTTACAGAAAAAAAAATAATAAAAAAAAAAATATACATATATATATATATATATATATATATATATATATATATACCCTTTCCCTCATCTTACCTTGCAGGGAGTGGGTGGCACAATCAGATCCGTGGTGGTTGAGAAGGATGCCTATCCATCGGGTACAGGGGAGGACCCATACAAACCCACAGATTAACCCATACAAACCCACAGACTGACTCATACATAAACAAAGACAGACCCATTCATATACACAGACAGACCCATACACACACACACACACTGTCCCCCCACACACAGACTGACTCATACACCCACACAGACTGCTCCCTTACACAGACTGACCCATACACACACAGACTGATCACCCCCACACAGACTGACCCCCTACACACACAGACTGACCCCCTACACACACATACTGACCCATACACACACAGACTGACCCCCCCCGTTGTAATTGTATGTACATCACCATGGTAACAGGTCCGCAAGTATGGCACGTTATGACATCATGAGGGTAGGTTCTACATGGCAGGAGCATGGAGGAATGCTTGACGCTCACACATAGGTGACTGGGGTTTGGTAAGTTTGTTTCTTCCTATTTATAGTTGTTAAGTTATTTCCTTTGATATTATGTCCTGAAGAAAGTTTGATGATATGAACTGAAACGTTGACTGATTGTGGGATGTTGGTATTATAAATTTTTTTACAGTTTACAAGACCTTGAGTGCTGGCTATATATTACTTGGTGTATGTTGTGCAGCTGAGCACCGGGCAGGAAGACTGGGAGGCTGGAGTGCAAATCCTGACAAACTGTATATATATATATATATATATATATATATATAAAAATATGTATATATACTGGAAGTTCTACAAATTATATAACAAAAAATACAATACTTAATAAAGTTGTACTAGCCACGAGTCTGCAGGAAGAGGCTATTTGCATGAAGTAACACTTTATGAACACATATGCTGGGCATAAAATGGGAAGAAATCGATCACAGGCTGTATGACTGACAACTGATGGAGGTGTGGCTAGGGCTGAAAAGTCATATAACTATTAAATAAGAAAATTGCACAGCGAGTCTTCAGTGCGTGACCTATATATTAAAACCCCATCGTTACACTGACATAACTTAGGTGCTTGGACTGGTCCTTGCATATTTTCCGTTTAAGAACTGATGACAGTCTATGTCATTGAAAAATAAATCTGTTCTATAATCTATTCTAAATTTGAATGGCCCTCGTATTTAAATTGAGGGCTGCATGGAGATGCTAACAGTAAATAAATAAAGGGTGTGTGTACACCCTGTTCTAAATTATTATGCAAATTCTATTTAAGTGTCACAAAGATTAAATATTTTGTTTTTCAGTTTAACTCATGGATGGCATTGTGTCTCAGGGCTATTTTGATCACTGAAAACAATCTTGGACACCTGTGATAATTAGATTGCCAGGTGAGCCCAATTTAAGGAAAAACTACTTAAGGAGGGTGTTCCACATTATAAAGCAGAGCACCATTTTCATGCAATATGGGGAAGAAAAAGGATCCCTCTGCTGCCGAAAAGAGTGAAATAGTTCAATGCCTTGGACGAGGTATGAAAACATTAGATATTTCACAAAAATGTAAGCGTGATCATCGTACTGTTAAGAGATTTGTAACTGATTCAGAGCACAGACGGGTTCGTGCAGATAAAGGCACATTGAGGAAGATTTCTGCCAGATCCATGCATCGGATCAAGAGAGCACCTGCTAAAATACCATTACATAGCAGCAAACATATATTTGAAGCTGCTGGTGCCTCTGGAGTCCCACGGACATCAAGGTGTAGAGTCCTCCAGAGTCTCGCAACTGTGCATAAATCTTCTATTCGGCCCCCACTAACCAATGCTCACAAGCAGAAACGGCTGCATTGGGCAGAAAAATACATGAAGACTTATTTTCAAACAGTCCTGTTCACTGATGAGTGTTGTGCAACCCTGGATGGTCCAGATGGATGGAGTAGTGGATGGTTGGTAGACGGCCCCCTGTTCCAACAAGGCTGTGACGTCAGCAAAGCAGTGGTGGAGTCATGTTTTGGGCCGGAATCATGGGAAGAGAGCTGGTCAGCCCCTTTACGTTCCTCGAAGGTGTAAAGATGACCTCTGCAAAATATGTGGAGTTTCTGACTGACCACTTTCTTCCCTGGTACAGAAGGAAGAACTATGCTTTTCGTAATAAAATCATCTTCATGCATGACAATGCACCATCTCATGCTGCAAAGAATACCTATGCATCAATGGCTGTTATGGGGATAAAAGGAGAGAAAGTCATGGTGTGACCTCCACCCTCCCCTGATCTCAATCCTATTGAGAACCCTTGGAGCATCCTCAAGCAAAAGATCTATGAGGGTTCGAGGCAGTTTACATCCAAACAGCAGCTCTGGGAGGCTATTCTGACATCTTTCAAATAAATTCAAGCAGAAACTGTCCAAAAACTCACAAGTTCAATGGATGCAAGACTTGTGAAGCTGCTATCAAATAAGGGGCCCTATGTTAAAATGTAACTTGACCTGTTAAAATGTTTAAAAAGTTAAAATGTTGTTATACGTTTGATTGAAATAGCTTTTGTTTTCAGTAAATATGCTGCAAACACAACAAATGACACTTTTCAGTTCTTTACAACCTATAAAGTGTTTTGAAACTTACTGTGTGAAACAATTTGGAACAGTGCTTTGTAAGGTTTTTATGTTTAAAAAAAATACTGTTATCATTAGGAGGTTTGTTCAATAAAATTTGAATTGTACTCTTAATAGTTGATAACATGAGAATTGTGCTGACTGTTATTTACATAAATTATTTAGGTAAATGAGAAAAATATAATTTGCATAATAATTTGGAAGAGGGTGTAATGCTGG